TTTAGGTAAAAAAAAGTAAATTAAATTAACTAAAATTTAGTTTCTTATTCTATTAATTTCTGTTCTGCTACTTAGGATAACATATTGTATAGAGCTATCTATTTCGTTTTTATAAAGTTTAACAGTTTTAAGACGCTGAATAAGAGCAGCCCGAATTGCGGACTGCAGAATAGAATGTTATGGAACCATTAAAATTGGGCTGAAAAGTCTAATGTAAAAAATATTCTTGTCCGACTATTTTTACATACGTGTGCGTCCAATATTGGTATAACAGATGAAAAAATAACAGAAGATTAGTTCCAAGATAATATCAGAGAGGCGCTATACAATAATATGCGAATATATACACGCACCACACATACGCATACACAATACATTCATACTTAGATTATGACTTATGCCGATAATATCACTCTAATTTTTAGTTCCATCGAAATGATGGCGCTTTCGCGTTATGACTAGTAATTAGGACGACAAAAAAACGTTAGATAACAATTATTTTTGCTACTTGGGAAATAGCGCTGACTTTGAATATTTAGCTGAAATACTCATTGATTATAGTTAAAAAAATACAACAATCAAATAATCAATTTTTGGAAAATAGATCTAATTGTGGTCATCAATATTATATTGTTATCCTCATATGATAACACAAACTTTACGTGCTATACATGTAAGTAGAGGGTAGAGCTGTCGTTAGTGAGGTTATGTAGTCCTGGATTCGAGGTGATCAGCTGTCATTTTTGATAAAACAATAGTGATTTTTTAGTGAATATAGAAAAGGTAAATCACAAATAACATTTATATATATTTCGCTCATTATAAAATTTATTTTAATATATTTTATATATATATATTTCTATTTTTAATCATATATTTCTGTATGAATACATTCAATGAGTTTTAAAGGTTATGTATGTTCATACTTCCAGATCACACACAGTATTAAAATGTCCTCGTGGAAGAGAACTGCAAAAATGAGCCAGAAGACTCATCGGGAACGTCATCAACCGGAGGCTCGAAAACATCTGGGTCTATTAGAAAAAAAGAAGGATTTCATCGCGAGGGCCAGAGACTTTCAAGAGAAGCAGGCAACGCTCAAACTCTTGAGGAAACGTGCGCTGAATAAAAATCCAGATGAGTTTCATTTTCACATGATTAATTCCCAAATAGTGAATGGCGTTCATAGAGAGAAAGACAAAGAGGACCAGCACACGCCTCAGCAAATCAAACTGTTGGAAACGCAAGATGTGAGATATGTAGCATACAAGAGAAACATTGAAGCAAAGAAGATAGATAAGCTACAGAGCCAGTTGCACATGATGGACACGATAGACGAGACACCAAACAAACACATTTTTTTTCTAGATGATGATACAGAAGTGAAAAACTTCAACCTTGCCAAAAAACTTGACACACATCCAGCGTTTTTGTCCAGACGTACCAATCGACCAAAGTTGAGCATGATTAAAAATCTAAAACTGCCGGAATTAGATGACAAGTCTGTCGCTAAGCTCGAGCAGAAAAAACATATGGTTTATAAGGAACTGGAAAAAAGAATCGACAGGGAGCGAGAGTTGACAGTTGTACAACAGAAACTGGAAGTGCGCAGGCTATTGAAGGACACACAAGGCAAGAAACCAAAATTAGTAAAACCTGGCTCAAAAAGTACTGCTCCTATTTATAAATGGAAGTTTGAGAGAAAGCGGTAATTTATTTGTGTTACAAAATCTGTCATTAATATTATATATAATTAGATAGAATATGTCATTTGTAATGATAAATGTTGAATAAAAGTTTTTACTCATATACATATATATGCAACTGTCCAATAAACTATACAATTGAATAATAATTTTGCAATAATCAATATTTTCCAAATTATTAATTAATATACGTATTTATTTATTATATTGATACATAATATATAAACATATATTAATACATAATTGATATATAAACTTGTTATAAATGTAAATATAATGTTATTGAAATAACAGTAATATAAAAATAGAGATTATAAAAATATCACTTATAATTTTGCTGAAAATTCACTGAAAATATATCGTTCATTATTTTTTATTCTATTATATTATTCATTGCTTTATGTATACTCATATACAAATACTTCATCGATTCTTTGTCATATTTTTGATCTTATCATTATTTGAACTAATTATTTTGCTCGACATTCATCACTTTTTTGTTTTTGTAACAATCTAATTTTACTTGCGATTATAATTGTTATTTAATCAACAGTCATTTCCAACATCTCGGCCGATCCTCTCGGCGCTTCTGTAATTTCGCTACTTTCCGTGCTACTTATTCCTGTCGTTTGCGTTATCATATCATTTGCTGTCATTTCTGTCGTTGATCTTGTCATCAATGGCTGTCCCATTCGCCCGTTTTCTGTCATAGACGGTTCTACGCTCGACACTTCTGTCACATTATTTGCCGACATCATAGGTAGCTCCGTTGATACGCTTAGACAATCATAATTAATCTGCCAAAGTTGTTTCTTCGCATAAATATCTAAACGAAGACAAATTGTGATGGATCTAAAATGGGAAGATTGATTAATTTCAGAAATTATACAAACTGGATTAAAAATAAATACGTAGTGCAAAACTATGATAGATTTGACAACAAAAATAATTTTGAAAATTATGGATTACTTTGAACATTTATTAAAACAATTTTTTTCTTTTTTCTCATTGACTGCAAACTTTAACATATAAATTGCTCTGGCAAAAATTAATGTTGTACCTAGGAAACTGATTAAGTTCCAAGATATTGATACATGCCGTCGAAAAAAGGCAACCGGGAACGTACACGCAAAATTGGAATGCTCTGTAATCTATAGAAAAATGTGCAAAAAATAAAATTACTTGTAATGAATAAAGATCATGATAATTTATGTTTTTTTTCACTTTTTTGTCAATTTTATTAGTGCTATTATGTATACTACATTAAGTATGTGCAAAGTTATATATTATTATAGTTATGTGCAAATTCTTAGATTCATACAACAAAATTAATCAAAAATACTGACTTGTTACTGTCCTGGTACTGATTGTGTCTGAACTCAATGCAACATCTACATTTAATCCATTCCTCTGATACGTGAAATTTACACACACTGTAAAAACAGTAACTTAATTTTGCTTTTATTATTTTTATTATTTTACCTTTGAGCAACTTACGATTTTTCTCTTTTCTAGTATATAAAATAATCACGCTTTGGCAACAAGTGCAAGAGAAAGACATTGGACAATTACATGATCGTTGAGTAATCGAGATCGTTCTATAAATAAAAAATCCTCTTGATACGGCAATGCCTGATAAATATTCCATCTGTTAGCTTTTTAGAAATTTAAAAATATAACTTATACACAATACATATATGTACATAATAAAATATTAGGTCATATCAAATTGCCATATTAAAACGCTGTATTTTCGATAAAATCAAGTTTATTCAATTAAAATGTGCACGATTAGTATTAATATTTTTTTTTTAACTGAATATATTAAATATATTCTATTTCTTTTTAATTTAGAGTTTTTAGATTTCATAAATTATTTAAATCTGCTATCTCAATTGGAAAATATTTTTTTTTGTATACGGAAAAAAATTTTATATCAAAAATTACTATGTACGGCAATAGCCGCGGATCATGATGAAATTATAAAAAAATTTGCTGTATTTTTCACATAATGGTCATAATATTTAAACTTACAATTCCTCTTATAGTCCGCGGCTACTGCCGTATCATAGTAGTTTTTGATAAAATTTAATAATCCGTGTATGATTGCCAAATAGCTCTTTCGTTAAGAGAAGCCTTTCCGAATTAACAGTTTTATCTCACAACAGCTGTTTTATGTCCCAATTTAAATTCTTATAAAAATTGGCACTTATTTTGTAAATGCTGTTTATCTCTATATTTTGTAGATATTGTTTATTTCTGTGAAAAAAAAGAACAATATTAAAAACAGCTTACTTATTAAAGAACATTGAAGAGCTCAATACCTTTATGAGTTATTAATAGCGCAATCGAAAATACACTTTATGTCAACTTTATTAATCACGGTCAATTGTCAGTTGATTGAATTTCGGCAATTTTACGTGATATGATCTAATAAGTTCGGAATACATCTAAAAGACTGAGGATACGTAGATCGAGGATATTATGATTAAAAATCATGAGCGACGAATGATATTATTAGCCCTCACTTTTATTTATAGCGATCGATTCGTCCACAAGACACAACCATATCCAGATAAGAGCACTGATGTTACACAAATTCATATTAATGTACGATTATTGTAATGAGTAAATTTGCACGTGAAAATATTAGAGCTTATTATAGAGCGATGTCTCGTTACACACTAACCGCTTTCTGCTCTGTCATATTCTGTTCGGCATTGTACAGGATGTAATTACAAGCTATTATATTGCAGGTCTTTAGAAAATATCCGGAACATTTTTCCACTTTGAATTGTATACGCGCGCGAAATTCACTGTTGTATATAAGTATTTGTGGCATTCTATGGCTGTGTACTTTAGAAATTGTAAAACTAGAAACTAATGTAGCAAACTCATATAATAAAAATGCGTTAAATCTGCATAATAGAAAACAGTTATTAATTAATAAATAATTATAAAAGTTGAAAAGTTACTAGTTGTATCAAAGTGTAATAACAATTTTTTATAATATTTTATGCTATATATAAATATATAGAGTATCTCTATTTAGTTTAAAATTTTAATTTAAAGCTTGTACATAAATAACTATGTTTATTTTAACATTAATGTACATTTTATTTATTTTTACGTCTTGTAATGTTATATCTAATCTAACAAATGTTATAATATAATTTTATAAAAATGAATAAAATGTACATTTGAACAATCTAGTTTATTTCTTCCTTTAAAATATAAGATGCATTGCATTGCAGTAAAGAAAATGTGCATTCTAATATTTTACACCTATCAAATATTATAATATAAGATTCTAAAGCACAAAAATGAATAAATTGTATATTTTAACATTTTAAACCATTTCTATTACAATTGCATAACAACAATATAAGCACTTCTACATATTATTAATATCAAAAAATTATTTAAGGAAGAAGAAAATGTGAAGAGAAATGTTTATAAATATAATAAATAAAGCATTAATAAAATATCTTACATTTCTGTTTGTAAAGCATCAAGCTTTGTATAAATGTAAATATAATATATATATTGCAATATATCTAATAACAATAAATTCACATACATGGCACAAAAATTTATAGTATTAAAAATAAAATATCTAATTTTAATTATATATTTAAAAAAAAACTTTCTTAGAACAAATCATCATCATCATCGTCATCGTCATCGTCGTCATCATCTTCGTCCTCGTAATCATTTTCATCATTCAAATCTTCTGGAAATAATTCTACTTGACCTAAACCACCTCCGTCTTCCGGCTTTAGGAGGGCTAATCCGTTCGAACCGAATCTAAGACAGTCTAAACTAACCTGTAGAAATAATGTGTGTAAATACATGTTACATATTGTGATTAGTAAAAGCGATTTATACGTGAGAATAAAATATGTTTTTTTTATTTACATTTGTTCTAAAAATAATTGCGTAATATTAATAATATTTCTGGCTTATAAATTTTTATATCTTACCTTAAACAATACGGTATCTTGATACTTTCCCTCCATATTGACACACAAATGAATATTTCTGCCTTGAAAGTATATATTGTAAAATCTAACGCATGCTCTGACGATTGGTATCCTTGGAACAGGAACACATATTGGCCTAGGATTCTTGCCTGAAGAATACAGGATAGATCATAGAAAAACGTTGTTCTGCACAAAATTTTCTAATCCACTCCCTTGCTTTCTATTTATAAATTTTTTAATAAATTAAATATTGTTTTATACGCTCTGCACTTACCAGAAACAGTTCTCGTATAAAGGACTCTGTCATTCATCATTATGTTGGCGGTAAAACTGAACTCGTCAGGATCATATGTGATGTTCACACAAGCCTTTTGCTTCCACGTGTCGTACAAGATTCTCGAGCAGCATCCACAAATACCACCGGTGCATTGACAAGGTCTCTGGCTAGTCGCGTTAACCGTGTCATTTCCCGATTCGGACGAAACCAATGATTGCTTCAACAGCGCCTTTAATTCTTCCAATTCTTTCTGCGGTTCAGAAAGTCCTTCGACCTTTCTGCTAATGATTCTGCTTGTCGTAAGATCTTCATTGAATGACAGCGAATTCGATTCTGATAGCGAACTCGATTGCGCAAAGGTGGCGATCAGAAGCAACAACTGTAACAGCCAGCAAACGGTCTTCATCTTGTCCTTGATTTTGCCTGGCGCTCAATCGAGGCGAGAGGACATCTCAAGATATACTCCTTACCAGGCGATCGAAACTTGACTGGCCAGTTAACGGAAACTTTTATGTTGACCGCTTTCTACGGTGAAATTTAAGCTTGATTATAAGTTGTTTGCCCGCATTTTGTGATCTAGAACTTGTAGAGAAATGATAGTACTCTTAGAAAATGTCGTTGCATGTATTTAGAATACATTACATACATACAATATCTTTGATCATTAATTATAACAACGATAAAAAATGTAAGAAAATAAATATTGAGTTTATTTTAAACCATATATAAAATTTATTATAAATTAAAAATTAAATTCAGTTAGTATGTTTATTTTACTAATTTTACTAATGCAAAATTCTTAAAGCTACAATTAAACTATAATTAAAATAAATATTTTATAATAAACACGTAATTTGTCAAGTGATATTTTAAATTAATAAAATAATTAATATATTTATATGCGTAGCTCATAAAATATCAAGGAAAACTTCAAATTATTGTCTCAATATTTTAATTTAATCTTAATAATTATATATATCACAAACATATAAAATTTTAATTAAAATTATAATTTATAAAGCTTCTGATGATAAACATCACAACACAAATGTAAATAAAGTCAATGTTAGTTGTTTGTGCAAACATACGAAATCGAAGTAAAATAAACAAATGTTTCCGCCTGTTATCAGGCCTTCTTCTGTATCAATGAAAAATTAAACCGTATACAATTTTTAAAAAATTACATAACTGCACGAATTTACAATACATACGTATCATTAATAATATGTCAGAGATAGGACGTACAAGAAACATAATAGATAATTTATAATAAAGATACAGATTAAACCGCAACGCAATTTTAAGAAAACGTACGCAATTTATAAGAGTTACATGACCGCACATATTTAATGTTAATAAGTTGTTAGAATCAGGACCGGCAACTTAGCAGAATTTCGAGTGTGGAGTTCTGCTATCGGTTTGAGGGGGGGGGGAGGGGGGAGGTAGCCAGAAAAACTGTAACAAATTTTTACAAAATGGGGCCTTTAATTTGTTGAGAAACGGGAAAACAAAATACAAGCTTGATTAAAGATAAAATTATATTAATTAATCACATTAATGTATTTGTTTTGATTGTTAGTTTCCTAGGCGCCGATAGAGATTCGCCACACGCATATCTGACGTCCTCTACCATATAATGTTATAGTCCGTGGTATATCGGTAGCTCTCGTTACAACTCATAAATAATTTTGGAACAAATTGGCGAAATTCCGAGTGTGGAGTTTTCCACATACTTCATATATAAGTTGCTGGCACTGGTTAGAACGGTTGTACAAGAATATTATTAAATAAAGTAACTTTTGTAATCGTAAAAATAAGTCAATAATTCGATATTTTGCACTGAAATAAAGTTAAAATTTAGAATTGAGTGAAAGTAAGAATAAAAATAAAAAGGGAGTAATTAAATACCTATATGAAAAAGACAGGTACGGCGCGTCCGTTAAATGGTAAAAACTAATGGAAGAGTCAAAGATTTACAATATGCTGAGTCTCTGATTAAAACAATAATGATCGTTTTATGAAAAGTAGAGAACTTCGATGATATCAGCGATGCGTAAAGGTTGCAGAGGGGGAATTTGAACATACATTTCTTATTGACACAGATGAAAGCTTGATAACAGGCAGAAACGTTTATTTGTTTTACTTCGATTTCAATATGTTTTGCATGAACAACTAGCATTGGCTTCTTTTGCTCTTTATATTTATGTTTTGATATAAAATTTGATTATAATTAATAATAAATAATTGAATTATAATATTAAAAATACGTGTGATAATAATATATTTATTACGTAATATTATAAGTTGACAGTATTTTGTAACACACATTGCATTGTATTATCTATATAAGACTACAAATCTATATAATAATACTATGTAATAAATCTATGTAATAATAATTATTACAGCTTTAATTGACCGATGCTAGCTTCCTCTTCGGGTGTTACAGTCGACATCTGAATGCTTCCAAGCGGGACAGACTCTGTCTCAAAGGCTACCTCGTCATACACTTCCGGGGCACTCACTTCTGTTGTCGATGTTTGGAGAACGTTGCTGCCGTTTTGGGGTTTCATCCAAGAGACTCCATCCGTGCCGATTTTTACGCAATCAAAATGCAGAGTCAATATCGGCCACATTACTACATGCGTTTCGAAATCTACGCACGTGTGTAGATTTTTTCCAGACGTATAGATATCATAGAAGCGTACACAGAAAGATACGAAGGGAACAGAGAAAGGCAAGCAGAACGGTGGTGGATTTTTAGCTAAAAATTAATTGATCATATTATAAAATTATTACTTATATACGAGAATAACAAAAATTTCTTAATTACACATATTTTGCAAAAATCATGATTAATTGTTTTACGTTTCCTATAAAGCAGAGAAGTATTTTTTAATCTCTGTTGAATAATAAATGTGGAAAGATGTTAGTATCATTTCTTTTGTATATCACAATATATTATTGTGAATTAAAATAAGATAAATGTTTTAGTGGCCGGACGTGTTTTATTCTTCATGTATTAATAAAATATCTATTATTTAATATTTATAAATATAAAATTCAGAAATAAAATGTAAAAAAATTTTTGTAAATTAAGTGTGCATATAAAAAGAATTAAGAATTATTCTGTAATATTTAATCATATGATAATTAATACAATGATCTGATATGAGTTAATGACATTATATTATACAGGGTGTCTCTAAAATTTTGACAAAGCGCTCGTGTGCAGGTAGAGCGGAAGTAAACTGAGTCGAAAAGTTCTGTACCATTTTGCAATTTTCGCAACAGTTAATGAATTATTAATTACTAAAGATTGCCGAATAAGTGCGTATCTGTCCAGCTTACCGCCGAATGCAAGCGCGCGGCAAAATACAATAAAAAACGGGATCTCTCAAACAATCATATCTCAGAGTGGGCTTAGCCGCTTGTAGTAAACAACTCTTTGCGTGTCTAGCGACCATCATCGCTGGGCGGTTGTATCTCGCCGCGCACTTGCATTCGGCGGTAGGCTGGGCGGATACGCGCTCATTCGGCGATATTTAATAATTAATAACTCGTTAACTGTTGCAAAAATTGCAAAATGGTACAGGACTTTTCGACTCAGTTTAGTCCGCTCTACCTGCACACGAGCGCTTTGTCAAAATTTTAGGGACATCCTGTATAAGACATTGATTTTTCATGATTTTGCTAAGAGTAAAACATTACATGATATTTCATGGAGTTAAAAAGAAACATTATCGATCAGTTTTAGAAACAAATTTCTGAATTTTTTATTTAAAAAGTATTTTTTTCGTGTATTTAATATGCTATATCGTTTTGTGTGTGTGTGCGCGCGCGCATGTGATACAGGTTTATATACAAGGTATTTCATAATGTCCGTTCAAGCGCTAGTGTACAAGTAGAGCGCGGTAAAGTGGACACAAAAGTCCTTTACTATTATTATTATTGTGAAAATTGCAAAACGGTTCAATCTTTGATGTGTATACAAAAAAAATAAGAAAAATTATTTTAAAAAATTATATCAATAATGATTATCTCTTAAATGTCCGGCATTCATACGAAATTTATTCGATTATTAAAGTCACTTACCAGAAAGATTTCTATTTAAGATTACTCTTTCGTTCATTATAAATTTTGCACTGATGGCGAAGTCTTCGGGATGATAGGTGAAATTGGTGCAAACATGATTGTTGAGCTTGATAGCCATTATATTGATGCCAGTGCAACAGCCACACGTAAGATTGTTACAATTGCATGACATGCCACGATAACCAATTCTAGATGTCCCAAAAGGGATACGGCCATCTTCTATTTCAGCCATTAATGCTAATTGTGTGTTCGGATTGTAGTACACCATATCATAAATGGTGGCACCTAAAAAGAATGCAATATTTTTATATGAATAAATATTCTCTATTACAATTGTAATTTTGACGTAATAATTATACGATAACACAAATAATATAAATAATAAATTTCTTGCTATAAAATAACGTTTATTTTTCATTTTAATATAATTGTATATTTTTTTATTATAATAAAACAATTTTTTTACTTCAAATTTCACGTCCCTACTAGTATTTTTAAATATTAAATAAAAGTTTTATAAGTTTCTTCTAAATGTTTTTTTGCTAACAAGTAATATTTTAGCGTAGATTTTTATTATTTTAGTATTTTAGAATATTAATTTTAGAATATTAACAAAGATTTTCTTTTCCTACTTACCGATATAATTAGCATTCGCGACAGCATCCTGAACTATCAGGATCAAGAGAGAGATGCAGAACCACTTGGATAGCATGATTGAACCGCACAACCTTCACGGTTCGATGCCAACGGTAGACTGAATTGGGCACACATTGGATCCATCCGCGAAGGCGCCAGTTTCATTAATTATGTATCAAGTTTCCATAGAGGGCAAGATCGGCATGCTCGTAAATTACAATTAAATTGATGTTTATGATACAAACAAAAATAAAAATTTTATTTTAATGATTTCAAGCTAGTAATTAACAATAACAAATCAATACCAGAATTGTAAAACAATATATAAATATAATTATAGATAATATGATTATTTAACACGTCGTTTTTACAAATATTTTAATAATTATTTGTAAAATTGCATCAGTCTCCAAACTAGAACAAAAGTTTCCCATTTTATTCTATTATCTCATTCCAACCTTTCCCTACTTTGCTGAATAATTTATTAGTGATAAATAAAAGACGAAATAATAAAAATTCAATTCTAATTAAAAATTCAAGAATAGCAAAATTAATAGATATATAAAAGACACGTGATATAGCATACACAGTTATATTTATTAAAATTTTTTAATTACAGTGTCAATAAATAACTTAAATACATATATAAATAATAAATAATTTATTTGCTCTTAATAAATAACGTTAAGCTAATCGAGCAATTTATTATGGCTGAAGTCACGAATAACTCATAGATATCAGGGTGTTTCATAATATTCGTGCCAACGCTCGTGTGCGGGTAGAGTGATGTAAGCTGAAAAAGTCCTTTATCGATTTGCAATTTTCGCAATAATAATGAGATATTAATTAAAAAGGATGAATAATCGTGCGTTGCTGTCATGCCTAGAGTGTACAGCCCACAGTCTAATCACGCGCAACGATTATTCGTCCTTTTTAATTAATATTTCAATTATTATTGCGAAAATTGCAAATTGGTAAAGGACTTTTTTATTCGTTTACCGCACTCTACCCGCACACGAGCATTGGCATGAACATTATGAAACACTCTGTATGAATATATCTATGAGTCTTCTTCTGGCAAACAATATTCTTCAACAACAGATTCTCGTGTTACAAAAATCTCTGTCTTTTTAGAATTTTGTTTTTAAGAATCTTTTCTCGTTGTATCCTATTTACGTGAGCTATCTTTGAAGAAAGCTCTTCCTCTTTACTGAAATCTCGTATCACTTTCCACGTTATTTAATAAATAAGGGATTAATTGCGTAAAGAATAAATTATAATAGCAACGTAAATTACCTATTTTCTAACAATAAAATTAATAACAATTATAAAAATCATTTCTATAATAGCCATCGTAAAATAATTAAGATATTACGACTATTCATATAACAGTTAGTTATTAAAAGAAATAATGACTTACAATTTTATCATTAAAAAATAGGTTACACGGTCACAGTTATGTATACCAATTCAGATCTTCGACGAGCAATTCGCTGAGCCAATAAAACGAAGTTGAAGTTTTATTGGAACAACAAATTTGCGATAAAAAGGACGAGCTTTCTTCGACTTCCGATTATCCTACTGACTGGGGCACAGCTCTGTACATATTAAAACCTCGTGATTTTGCTCTGACGACTTTCACTTGGATGCCTCTTTCTAGCCAAAAACTCTACACTATAATCCTCATCAGTGTCAGTTTGATTTTTCGCGTTTCCTTTGTCTTTTTTACTTTTCCCAGTCTGCATGAAAGCATTTAACACGGCTTCTTCCTCTTCATCGTCGTCATCATCAGCTAGATCAGCAAGATCCTTCTCGTCTTCGTCATACTCTTGCTCCTCGTGTTTTTCATCTTCTATTTTGTCTTCGTCCTCTTCGTTTTCGTCTTCATCATCCTTATCATCATCGTCGTCGATGTCTTCATCTTCATCTTCATCATCCTCGTCGTCGTCATCGTCGTCTAAAAGATCATCGTCATCATCGGCGTTTTCGTTGTTTTCGTCCTTGATGGGTTTCTTCACAGGTTTTTCAGGATCGTGGATAGCGTTAACGCTGGTCGACGTTACAGTGGGTTTCTTTTTTTCCCCGATGACTCCCTTTTTCACGTCATTGTTGGCGGTGTCCTTGTCGGGTTTTGCAAGATACGCGATTTTGTTAGAAGCCTCCGTGATTTGTTCTTGGCTCTCGACAGTACTTTCGTCGATGTTGTTCTCGGTCAGTGCGGTGCCTGCTTCTTCCTCCGCCTTGCCGGGTTCATGAGTGTTGTCTTCCAGTTCTTCGTCGTCATTGTTTTCCAACTCGTTGGCAAAAGTGGACTCGTCCAGTGGCGTTGGCGTCGTTGGCCTCGGCAGAATCGGTATAGTGAATTCCAACAATGGCGCTGCAGTAGTAGCTTTCGGTCTCTTTGGGGTGTCGTCGTCGCCGGTGAAGATGTCTAGAATAGCGCTGAAACCCAAAATGTCATCCTCATCGTCGTCGTCATCCGATCCTTGGACGTCATCGACTCCCGAAGCATTGGGAACAGAATTCGTAGAAAGCGTCTCATCGTCCTCGTCGTCATCGTCGTCATCATCATCCGTACCGAGGCCGAAGAAATCGTCATCATCATCATCTTCTTCCGTTGATTCTGCCTCGACATCAGGAAGTGGCTCGGCTGGACGGAGTTTCAAGCCATCTGGACCGAATCTAGAATTAAGCATGCAATTATTATAATAATATTTTTAATAAATATGTATTATATACTAAATCGTTTATTTTCCACAATATTTTTTTCTATTATTTCATAACTGTTATGAAATTGGAATAGAATGAATATTAAAGGGTTATTGTTACGTTTTAATATATTAATAATATATTAATACCTGAAGCAACTAACGCGGAGGCTAGCTTCTAATTCAGTAGCCGACTGCAATTCCAGGCCGAGGCAAGCTTTGAAATGATTTCTCGCGTCACGTTGGATAGAATAAATCCGGCCACAGAATTTAGTAAAACCACCTGGTAGCGGTACACATACAGGCCTCGGACTTTTTCCTGAAATTCATAATATTCGATACACAACTTTATATATTATATAATTATTATTGAAACTAATTATTTTAGAACGCATAATAAGATCTCTAATAAATTAGAAACAAAGAAAAATCTAATTTAAATGTATGGAAATATAAAGGCTCAGCTGATTAAACAATCAAATTAGATACGATAACGTAAACGCCTGATGTCGAACTTCACTGTCAAAACACTAAAATAGGAAACCAACGCAAACATTTGCTATATGTTTCATATTTTATGTGGCATCTCTTCTGTGTCTTCTATCTTCTCTTTTACATATTGTCAAACACCTGTATAATGAATTTTATCAATATTTCAACTTTATGCTTAACTATGTAATTTATTATTTTAATCGTGCGAACCAAATCTTGCCTTAATGACGTAAATCATAGCAAATATTTGCGTTGCGTCTCCTATTTTATTCTTTTGACACTGAAGATAATCTGATGTCAGGTAGAAACGTCTGTTATTTGTAAGCTGTTTTTGTAATATAATACAAATTTTATTGCACGGAAATCTGACGTTTTGGCTTCCTATCGTATCTAATTTAATTTAAATATATTATTTAAGACATCTTGAATCTATTCTTTATGCATTAAAATGACTTCTATTAAATATTACTTATCTAATTCAAGCAAATTGAGGCCATTGGCCTCAATAGAAGAATGAAATATGTTTGAGATCGACATTTTTAAAATTATCAATATAAATACTTTCACTACATTAGATTGACACAAATTTCCCGAATAATGCCCATCTTTTATATAGACATCACTATTAAGTTTATAAATTTTTCGTAAACTCATCTCAGAGAAATTGATTTTACATTTGAAACTATTATATATATATTAAATTTAAAACTAGCGTGATAATATGCAATTTGTTTAAAGTTTAATGTTTGTAATGTATGTAAAAAGTAAAAAAATATTTTATATATGTAAATGAAATATCGGATTCTTTAAAAGAAAATATGAATTGCTGTGATGAATATATTCTTCATTGTTGCCGATTTGCATAGACATACGTATATCGGGTGAAAGTTGAATCACTTCCTGGACGTTATGCTAAATCTACCAAATGTCTATTCATTTATATACAATTAACACACTTTGCCTGCTAATGCTATCAAGCAGAGCGCTATTTGTTTTTTTTTTATGACTTAATGTTCAACAAGAAAACACGAATGCATATTATTAACCGAGCCAAATTTTGTTCTGACAGATATAATTTTATAGTTATAATTTATTCCAAATCTACCATTATCAAAATCTTACTAAATTACGAATCTTTTTATCAATTGTTTAATGTAATAATTAATTTTTTCATTTTTGTAACATATAATTTACGTAATTTACCGTAAGTCGTATTTTCAAGTTGTTATTCGTTTAAATTTACCCTGCAAAAAATGATTTGTGCGGACTATTGATTATTGTAATGAGGTAATTAGAGAAAGTGGCGGGGAGAGAGAACTGTGAATCGTTACCGTTATTATACGTATTTACCGTTAACGATCGTGCTAGTTAATATGTTGTCACCGAAGCTGAGTTGGACTGCCAGATTGTCACCCTGTAAGTACTGTAGCGAGGCACATCCTGAAAATTCAAATGCAAAAGTTCTCTCATAAATTATAAGAAAATAATATGATGTATTTTATGATCGTCTATAACAAGATTTAATCTGATTTGGCATAAAATGTATAACGTTACAATATGTGTGACAGACAATGACACAGTACAATAGATAACAAACGCATTCCGTATGCGTTTTCGCTGCACTTTCATTTTTCGTGCACAATTGCGTTGCATTAATAATTACCCGGTCCTTTCAACTGTACAAGCGGTATGTGAAAGTCTCGACAGCAATTGCAGATGTTCTCATTACAGGTGCAATATCGGTTCACGCTGTCGGCCGCCTGCTTCAACGACATCGTTGGCAAACCTATTGTATCCATCTGCTTCACATTATTTACGGCGCGAACCACTCGATGTGACACCTCATTGCGATCTGTAATTGTTATAATTAAAAAAAAAAACACAAATTTTATAATTTCAAAGTATTGTAATTGATATTAGAAAACTGTGTTTTTCGTAAAATAATTTTCCTTATATTTGAAACATTTCAACCATTGCATTTCATCTGTATTAAAATAATTCAATTTAAAATTTATTTCTTGTTTTTCTACTAAACTTCTCTTTATTCTTTTTACTTTGCTTTATTATTCTTCTTACCGATAACACGACCGTAAGCCGCGAAGGCCACCAACAAGAGAATCAGCAACAGCTCAAAAATCGTTGATAATCGCATGTTTTTGCTTGTTCTAGAAACAATGTTAAGAACGTGATTAGTATATTTCAATCTATTCGTTTTGTATTTAGCGGCACGCGCGCACGTTCTAAACTCATTAGCGTTTCTTTTGTTCAGATAAAAAAAAACATAACAATAGAAATCGTAAAAACACAAAGATTTTACGCACATGCCGACGCAAACATCAGAAACCACATAAATTCTAAATTATCTCCATAAATGCTTTGTCGTTTTATGATAAATTTTCACACAATATATTATTTTACTATGCAATTAAATATTATTTCTATTGAAATATTTTGCATAATATAAATAATTGTGACTACAATTAATATTTTATATTAACTAGATATAAATGTTATAGCTAATTGATAATAAAACAAATCAATAAACTTAAATGTCTATAAAAACGTGTTCAAAATTAATTTTTACTTACAAATAAAATTTTTTGATAAACATTTATTTAATTAATAAAAATTTTCGAAATTTTTACATTTTCATGAAAATAATGTTAGCGAAATCTTTCAGTATATTTACTTTACATATTAAAATTTTCGTGAAGTCTTATCGAATTTGCCACAAAGGATACGCATTAAAAAAGTTTATTCAACGTATTTTTTTTCATAACTCTTTCTCCCATTTTCTATAATTATGCATAGTTAATGTCAACGAACAATAGAAACACTCGTTCCGCTCGTCAATCGTCGAGATAGAGCGGTATAATTCTCGAATTTTTCTATCTTCTGATTCGTAAAGATCTACTTTAAACAAGGCAAAATTTTAAATAATTTTTTTTTTATATAAATAACTAGACAAATAATTTTAAAACAAAGAGACAGATTTTTTTCCGGTTTCGAATTCCTCTCATCTGTTCACGACCGGTTGACCTAAATCTCGGTCACGGTCAAAGGCGTGCATCGGGCACTACTCTAGACTTAGCGGCAGACTTTAGTAGCACAATTGAAGAGACGCGTGCCTCTATATACGCGGGAGATATATACTCGTGTCACCGTTATAAAACGCGTTACGTACAGTCAAGGTGTTGAATATAAACTGAGGTACACTGCCATGAAATCGACCGATTAATCGTGGTGTCTTGTAAAGGAAATCACGAATCACGGAAGTAATAGTACGAGAAATTGATTTAGCGTTAATGCGATTTCTAATTTCTAGGATTTGGTATATCAATCTACATTCATTCAGTAATCCTAATGAATAATAGATAATTAATATGTAAATCAATAATATGTTGCTTCATATAATTATATATATTAGACTTAGATTGATTAAATTTAGTATTGACTTGTTATTTTTTTTTAAGCTTGTCTATGGAACAATTCTTTAAATAGTAGATAAATTTTGTTATAAACTTTATATGTCAATTTTGTATAACATTAAAATAATTAAAAAGAATATATTTTTATTGCCTTTGTCTATATGAGATACAAATTTTATCTTATTGTAGAATGATTTATAAAATTAATTGCCGCGTGTAGAAGAGCAACTTTCAATTTTATAGCACGTTTTCCGGTTTCTGAATCCTCAGATTGACAAATTCTACTCTATTTACCTGTTGATTGTTGAGAAGAAATCCGAGGAGGCAGCTGTGTTTGTGCTCTCCTGTCTTCTGCACCCTACGGCTCTTTTTCCTTGACTCTTCGTCTTACGGAGGCCAATGTCCAACTGAAGATGCCGCCCAACTCCCCCCAAGGTTTCTTTAAAAGTCGGTCAGGCCACCACCACCTGCCGTCAAGCTGCTGCTAGGATTATTAAACATTCTAATGCGCTCTAGGTAAATCAGAGGTGGTCCGCGCCAATCGTCGCCTCGTTCGCTTCCGATTCCTTATCGTTCTTCATTCGGACGTCGTTGCCGTCGCCGTCGTCCCGACGTCGAGAGCGGGAACACGCCTTTCCATCTCTCCGCAAACCGGTATCAGAGGCCCGCGGTATGCGCGGATGAATGAAGAGGGTCCGAGATGATTCAACGAGTACGAAAATAACTCGAGAGAGGGGAAGTCATGCCGGTGACTTCCGTCATCCGTTAATTACGTCCGGATTCCGACAGAAAAAGCGACAGGCTTCTTTGGCGATGTGATCTCTGTACTTATGTCATGATGATCTGTGCACTTACTTAAACTCGTTAAAAAGAAATTATCATTAAAAAAAAACTAAATAACAAGTAAAACAACCGGGATAAACTAAGAAAACGGATTTAAAAAATATTTAAGAATATGTTAGAAGAAACTTTTTATTTGTCCAAAAATCCGAAGAAAAGTAACTAGAAAAGTGAGTCTTAAATTTTAAGATAAACATTTTTTATGACAAAAATTTTTGTTTGTAGAATCTACAATTTATTTTACTTAAAATATTATAATACAAACAATTTTAATAAAAATTTTATTATTACGTATAATCACAATTACATATATTACACATATAGTCGCAGTTAAATTAAGCTTTCTCATTTACACTACAAATTTTAATAAATACAATTTACGATTGCTATAATAACAAAACTCAATTTTTTACGAATAAAATTATATTGCAAAGTGAATAGTTTGTGATGCATTATTTCACATTGACTTTTATATTATCCTTATTAATCCTTTAAATTTTTTTAAGACTAATTGTATAAGTAAAAGACTAAAACTGTTAGTCAACATTTTTAACTTCTAAAATATATTTTATTACTACTTTAACTATCATTAAAACGTGTTATACGAATATTAATTTTAACATCAACAGACATACTAGATTTACTGGACCAATTATAAGGCTTAATGAGCAATCAAATTGTTTAAATTTTTCTTGGTATTTTCCAATTTTTCCGCGGCAACAATCTATCGACGGCACGTCAATAAACTCACGCGAATACATCAATTCGCGACACAAATTCTATCCAAAGACCTACTTTCGTGCGCGTCCAGTCTCTGCGGGTGTTTCGTCTTGTCTGGGAGAAGAAAGAGAAAAAATATCCGGAACACGCGGCAAGCGACGCGAATGCAACACAAAATTAATGCAGACGCTCGTTCGTACGTTCGTACATTTGTTCGCTCGTCTCATGGAACTCTCCGAGCGATACACGGAATCGTGTTTTGGCGGTTAAGGAGGGGCCTTTCACCGGTTAGTGGGTCGAAGAAAGTAGTGACCAGATGTGTGTGACCAGTGGTTTACCTTGGTTAATATTTGCTTATTTGTTCGCTAATGCCCGGTCAAATCGTCGATAGCGACGGCGTTAAGTCCATCGCGAATAGTATCAAAAGTGATACATACTTCAAGTACACGGAAAAAAAGTAGTGTCAAATCAAAGCTTATATACTCAAATTAACGCGTTTATTGTTTCGCATATACGCAACAATTTATAATCTTCCGATGAGAATTTAATAATCTTAAATTTTAACAATACTATAGTCTTATTTCCATTTTATAATGATCACTTGGAGAATACAATATTTAATTTTACTCTAAGAAAATTATAATCTTTTATTTGACAAATATGTTATTTTCTATCCAACATTTTGTCTTTTCCATTCAAGAAAATTATTCTTAAATAATAAGAATATTTTTTTCTTGGTTGAACTATATAAAATGACTTCATTCAAGCCAGTTTTCTTTGTTTAAAGCAATATAATCTCGTTTCAAGATTTTCACATTAAAAATAAAGATATTTTTTAAATAAGAATATCTTTTTTTTCCGTGTATATAATAAGACTTCTTATAAATAGTCCAAGAAATAAAAATAGAGAAAAAAAATCTTTGTTTGCGTATAATACAAATTAAATTTTGAGTAAAAATGTTTACAATTATTTGAGCACAAGTGCTTATAGAATACGTGAAATTTTCAAGCGCATTTTAGACATTTTAAGCAAACACTATGATGCAATTGAAAATAATTATTTATTGAAAAATTTCGTATTGTTTTTAGAAGTTTTTAATGTATAAATTTCCTCGATAATTCAATCAAATTAAGGACGTCGAGTTAATTCCATCACTATCTCGGATAATAATTCGATCATCGGAGGTTTCTAAATCAATGACCGAAATGAACGACCCAGCAATATGTGGGTTACTCCAATCGGGCGGGGAACAAACGAGTTTTTACGTAACGTGGTGGGATAATTGTTGTCTTTCGGATGCATTTCTTGCGGCTGCATCTCTCTGAGAAAAAAAAAGAAGCGGGCGATTCTGATGTGCAGTTGCGCTTGTCGATTAGAATCATGGAGCGATTAAGGCGGAGTAATCGCATGTTCGTGATATTGACGTTTTACCAAAGCCATTATTTATACAATTATCTAATCGATGTTCGTTTTCTTGCTCATGATCAATGACGGGGCAAATTATAACTGGGTTGCTCTGCCATTGATATAATTGCATAACTTGCGAGAGAAATCCTCACTTTTTAGCTCGATTATTAGCTTTATTTTATATTTCAGTTCGACTATCTGATTATTTATTTTTTAAATAAAAATGTAAACTTCACCGCGTGAAATTTAACATACCTTTAATAACGTTTCTTACTAGAGAATAATTTTTACAAATAAATAATAAAACAACACTTTTGCTATTATAAGAAATTGGGTTTATTCTAATGAGAAACGCTCGACTCGAGAGAGATATCTTTTCACTCGGCCCACTCTGTGGTCACGTCGGTACACATTTCGCTCCATTTCCCGTCTTGTAGGCGCGCATGAACCGCGCCCACGCTCGTCCGCGAAAAAAGAATGCGACATGCACTGTAATCGATAGACTGGAATCGTAAGTGATTTTATGCGAGTCAAATGGTGGACTGCAACATTTCTTCAATCGGTGAAAGCTGAGGAGAAGGTTTCCGCACAGAAAGAAAGAAATGTCCGACGATGCGTGGCGTGTTATTAAATTAGAAAACGACCGTGCGCAAAGTAGAATGTGCTTTTTGGGCGCGTTATATGTCTTAGCGCTCTCTTGTTTGAGGCAATTTTGCGCAGTAATGCATACAGAAATCTAGAAAGCAAGAAATCGGTAATGTTAATAATTAAATTCAAAAGTAGAGCATTTATTCGATAAAGAACATATAATTGTTTGACAAAATATGAAAAAATATTTGACGTGTGATTAATGCTTATATCGAATTAACCATCTATATAAGTTTTTCTGATGCCTTTGAAGTCTTATAGAAAATTATCTGTTTATCATATCTCAGTTTTGTGACAATGGAAAATTTATGACAACGACAATTAATAAGAGACGTTTGGCTTCACGGTAAAGAATTACGCGTGAGAGCGTGAAAAGCTCGAAGGCGACAATTCCGGGGAAGAACATTCAAGGAGGAAATCTTTATTTCTTCGATTTCCAGAAGATCACAGATGCGTTATGGTATCTAAAATGCCCGAAGCTTGGGCGACCTCGTAAAAAGCGTTTTGAAGATCAACATCTTCCAATACTATGCCACGAGTGACACTCCCTGAAGAGTAGCCCAATATCTTTTGTCCTCCATTCAAACTCTACACCAACGCGACATGGGGCAACATGACGCGTCGCAGAAGGGGCACGGCGCCTTGAGACCCCTCTCGTACCAGGCCGGCGAAAGAAGGAGGTTACCCGGTCACCCAAATGGGGTTCGTTGTCCGCTGTTATGTTGCCCCTCGTCGCGTCGCGCCGCACACCGATGGTGCCGGCGGCTACCCCACCGTCGTGACGGTTTTGACCAATCCTGTCCCCTGTTTTCGTGCCGACCGTCGGACCGGTCGGTGATCCGACACCCGCGGAACCGGCGCCGTGTCCAGATTTAAGCTTCTTCTTTGCCGGGCAGGATCTTCGAAGATCTTTTCATCCGCGCGTCAGTCCGTCCGTCTCTCGCGCGAGAGTACCGCGATCTCGATCATCCGACTGTCACTCGATCGAAGGATCGGGCGTGATCGTTCTCCGTTGAGAAATAAATATCTTTTTAAGCGAATAACATTTTGGAGAACATCATGGCGGTGAAGGCCACGATTTTGGTGCTGATGGTCACACTGGTGGTTGTCGCGTCCGCTGGATTGCTTGGTGAGCAGTTGGAACGTACTGTGAAATGCGATTGAAAACGCCAGTGCGAGAATTCGCGCCCGGTGATTTTGACGCGCGCCGACAATCGGAGATTTCAACGCATGAATAACACGGGTGCACGTGCTTGCTACGTTTGCTGTCGGTGCGGTTGCGATCGTAATGTCGTTTTGGATTGTTTTGGATTTCACACAATAAACGCAATTGTAAAAAAAAAAACTATTAACGAAATTTATACAATTGATTGCTGTTTGATATAATAAAATGAAACGTTTTGTTTTATCTTGTGACAAAATAAGAATGCATATTATGGAAATTATTCTCTTCATAAATCTAGATTTTAGTTTGTTTAGAAGTAAAACAATAAAAAAATACAGTATTGTTTTATTTAAAAGTATCGTTAACACGACTTTATTATAGAAATACAAGAGTTACTTTTTATAATACAAAATTATTATTTTCTAAGAAAGAAAAATAGAATTTTTCTTTTGTTTTATATTTTTAGACGTGTTGATTTTTAAAATACATTTCACGATTTTGAATTAATTCCACTTTGAGGTAAAAAAACCAAATTCTTCTCATACAATAAAAGTGACAATTTAAACTAGAGATGTAATTTCACTTTTAATTTACATTACTCGATGCTACGCTTTTTTCTCTAAGCTTTGTCTTTATTGTTTATCTTTATCGTCGGTGAAACTTGACGAAAGATGCTCTCAAAACTGTCATTCGGCGGCTTGGTCCGACATCGCGCGAGAAAGTTTGCCGATAAAAATCTACATTGGCACACTTAGCACCCAGGTGTAGTTCTCCGACCTATTGTGGTCATAAACGCTTCGAATGTCACAGCCTGATTCGTCATTCCCAGCCTCCGAGAGAGTATTCAAAGGAAACTTTTACGGCGTAGTGAAACGCGTAGAAATTTGGCTTCCATTTGACTTTCGATCGGCGGCGACTTTCGTTTCGTTCCGATTTCTCTGTTCCGAGTTTCTCTGCCGTACACGTCCCTTATCACACACACGCATACATACGCATGTTCTTGCTCGCAGAGACCCTGCTCTCGTGGAATTTGCCGGAAGTCGAAGCGAGATCGGCCACGCCGCAGTCCAAGTGCTTGTGCCAGACTTCCGGTTGTCTGTGCTGTGTCGAATTGAACTTGACAGCCACGATCGATCTAGGTGGCCCGGCTTGCATCAACATCAAACAGAGGGAACAGAATGTCTCTTTAAATCTGAGCTACGGCGATAATCCTATTCACAATGCGACAATAAAGATTGGCAAGTAGTCACAATAATAATAAGAATTTTTTACTTCAACTTTAAATGAAATAAAATTGTACTTTAATATTATTTTAAATTATTCGAATTATTAAATTTTGCATTTAATTTAAATACTGAACTCTGTGTGTACATGAACTGAATTTGAATTATAAAATTTAATTGTGAAAGTAGAAGTTGGAATAAAAATTTAATGTTTATGTTTTTTTTTTTTTTTTTTACGTAAGCTAACATAAGCAATTAACTGATCAGATAAAATTAAAATGGCAATCTTCAATATCGATACTTTTGCAGCGAATGCGGCTAATAAACCGACTTGCATGAATCTCTTGTCGGACTTGGCGCAAATCTGCGCACGATTTACATCGATAAAGCAATCTGACTTCGGCGGTTACGACGGTTGTATGGTGATCGAGCCGGCTTTGTTGAGCACGCCGCAGGCCACATATTACATGGGATGTTTCAATTTCTATCAAGGTGTCCGGCAGGTGGAAGTGGCCGCGTGAGTACCCCTGCGATCTTCCACCTCAGAGCATTCATAAATCATAATTAGCCTCAACACAATTTCTCATTATTTCTTTTTCTTCCTTTTTTTCTTTTCAAAAAAATCCTGCGCAGCATCACGGAGACGACGGAACCCGTCGATACGTCGGAGGACGAAGAAGACACTCTGAACACCGACGAGATAATCGCCGCGGTGTCCGCCAGCGCCGAGCACGGTATCGCGCTGTTCACTCAATGGCTGGGTCTCAATCTCAATCCAAAGCTAAATCTGACAAACAAAGAGAATGGATCTCAGGACCAGCAGCAACAACGAACCAACGACGCCACCACAACCTCGAGATCGGCACGCAACATGATGGACATCCAGGCTGAAAAGAACGACGAGAGGTTTAAGCAACTATTGAGCGCTCAGGACAACGTTTTGAGAGGCTCGGCGACTATCGGACAGTCCAACGGCATGGAGACCACCTTCGTTTACTCCAAACCGACCGATTTGATAATTGAGAAGAACGCGACCGAGGAGGCTAAAAGAAAACTTGAAGCGGAGGCCGCTGTGCCGCAGCATCGGGTCGTCGTACCGAGAGAGTCCAGGAGAGGCGGAAGAGCGTACAACATTCATCAGCACGTTAACGAGATCTGAGGTGCGAGAATTCGGTCGTACAGAATGCTATACTGGCGACCCTTTTCTTTAGAGCTAAAGTGCCGCACGTAGACTATACTTGCACACGGAGCTGGGCAATAGAAAAAAGATTTTCGCTTCGTCCTACTGCTGCTTTTCAAAGACTAATTATGGTAATTCAATCTTTGCAATTAGCATGATCGTGATCTCAGATAATATCTTGAAGTTTTGATAGTGGCAAAAAATTATCACTATAATATTATCAAATTTATGGCATTATAAAATGAGATAAAGAATTGTAACTTCGCATTATACACTTTACAAAATTTAGTAAATTTACACAAATAAGATGTAAAAATTACACGACAAATAATGGAAATGTACGAAATAAATTTTTTGCAGTTATATTTCATAAATTTTATTTCACAAAATTTATTTAATATATTTAATACATTATCGTTATTTATCATTTTATCATCTTATTTTTGTAAATTTACCGAATTTTTGCAGTGTAATTAATAAAAACCTTTAAAAGTATTTACAAATATATCTTGAAAAGAAAATAATATCGCGTTTTATGAAAAAAAGCTAAATAAAAAACGCTAAAAAAAAAGCTAAAATAAAAAACATTAATTAAGTATAAAGTAAAATTAAATTTAAAATTAAATATAAATTAAATATAAAATAAATATAATAAATATAAAAATAGAATATAATAAAAATAAAAATAAATATAAATTAAATATAAATATAAATATAAAATTTTAAACATAAACAAAAATATATAAAAATATATAAAATATAAGAAAATACTAATAAAAAATTTTTATCTTTTTATTACAAAGTTATATAAGAGTTATTATTTATAATTGTGTTCATTAATAATTTTTATTCAAATATTTATATAATATTTGAGAAAATAATTTACAAATAGACTTTTTATTGGTGCATTAAAAATTTTTCTCTTCTAAGCTTCAAACTTTTTTGCAATTCTTTTTCAATTTGTAGCACAGTTTTTCCTGCTTTTATCCTATTCTGTGATACACGGAATGTATGTATATTTTTTATTTAACCATTAACTAATATATTGACGACCTTTGATTTATTATATATATATATATATTTTAATTAAATGAACAAGTCGCGCTTTTATTTGCCCAGCTCCGTTAGTATGATCTCTCGCGATTGTGATCACGTTTGCTCTCGATTTCACTTCGAAATCGTCACTTTTCCTACAATGATACTAACCCTTGATAATTACTCACAAGATGTTGACTAAACGTATGTTTGATCCTACGTTTTATGGAAAAATAGCTGACCAGTTGCACTCTAACTTGCGATTCAAGAAAAAAATTCTTATTTTAAAAAAGAGAAGAAGAAGTAAAAATCACGACTTAGTTTTCCAGTAAACAAGTGTTGTCTAATAATGATAACATAGACAATAAGCGTTTTCATCATGCGATTTATTTATTTCTTCGTTCTCAAACCCGCGTATTAAATATATAAAATACATTGATAGCTTCGCATCGCAAGTGTACAAATGCGAGTTAAATTATGCACTTAAATTTGTCTGCATACCGATATCGTCATGAATGATACAAATTTCGCTGATAAAAAAGATGATTACAAGCATGCGTACACACGAGCATGATGTAGACATGTCGCTGCATCATTGGTTGCATCCGAGGATAATCTTAATCGAAACGATTTTTTGCTATTCCAACGACGTTTCCTGATTAATATTATTAATTACAATTCACAGAGCAAAATAAGAAGTTAATGAGGTTCCTCTATTAGCCCGGAATAGTACGTGATCTTTGTGTGCAAAACTTTTTCTTAGTGTAATACTAAGTTAAAATATCTATTTTTGCACATCATATATGTAGCCCGATGCATAAAGTTGAATAAAATTGTGTGACAAGAAATTTTTTTCTTTTATTTAACCTTTCTATTACAAAATAATTTTGAACGCTATTAACAAATAAATACCCCCAAGCAAATCTTTTTTTTCAAGATAGCTTTGATTATATATTTAGGAATCCTCTAAAACCTTTTTTTTTTTCTAGCAAAATTCTGCAATAAAATGAATGACTTTCAAACAGTACCCTGTTTTAATATTACTCTTTGAAAGTAATTACCACCTAATATATTAATTAACATTTATTTTTTCGAAATTTTGTATAATCTAAAGAATTATAGAAATTTAATTTTTTTTAATCTGTACAATATTCGAAAATCTGTAAATAAAATTAAAAAATTGTGTTCTTAAATATATATCTAGTTCAAATCAGTGACGACGATTGCAAGGTCCGAATAATCAAATACAAAAGAATTAGACATTAATTGTAAGAAGTATGGAAGACAAGAAAGAGCTGCGTGTCAGTGGTCTCGGCCAGAGTTATACGTGTGTGTGCCAGTTATATCTAAATTTCTTACAGAATCATATCTTTACAATCTCAAACCACGAACGAGCACAATATATAGGCAGTATGTAATTTCCTTATTATATTAGTACATATTGTTATCCGTAAAACAAAACGGATATACAAACTACTTTAAGCGGAATGTCGGATTTTTGATAAAATGCCATTTATTTTAAAAACTCTAAATTAAATTTTTGCTTTCCTTTTTGCGTCTATATTATTCGCTCATCAAGACTCACACATATTAATAAACGTCTAAAATTAATATTCTTGTTCGTTCAGCAGAGCACACATTATTTTTGCAACATAACTTTGTCGGATTAGCAGCGATTCTAATTCTTAAACATTATTATTATTAATCGATTATACAATTCGTTACATCTTGAAAAATTGATATAAGAAATATATAATTATATATATATGTATCACCGTATATATATATATATATCTATATGCATGTATATATATATAATTTCTTTTCTTATTTTTCTTTTATCATCACAACTATAAAAAAGCCTTTAAAAAGAAATATTATAAATCGACTAGATACTAATAATGTTGCTTTTTCTTAAAATAAACGCGTGTCTCGCTCGATCAAAATATATATATGTGTGTGTGTGTGTGTATTTATATAGATATAACACTTCTCTCTACATGTGTCTTTCGTTTTCGTAGTAAAAATATTTTTTGGGTTTTATCTTTGGACGATCTTTGTTAATCTATAGTTAAAAAATAATTCGTTTCTTAACGTTGCGATAACATAGGCTTTGGGCATTCTGTCGCATGTCTGAAAATATGCAAAAGTCTAAAGAAAACTTTAAGACAGTACCGAGAAAATGATGAGAAATCGTCAAATTTTTAAAGCATCTGCATTTATGAGTGAAGAAACGAGATAATAATTATGTAAAAAATTAATTGTGTGCGTGTTGTCATTCTGGATTATTTGATAAAATATTTAATAAAAAATTCGACTACTTTCTCGTCAGTTTTAACGTCTTTGCATTTCCTTTGGACGAAGAGTTACACTTTTGCGATTCAGATACGCATCCTATTATTCGATCAGGCCGTGAGAGAGATCTCTATCATATAATTATATTTCGATGAATTTTGTTCACTTCGTTGATTTGGCATACATATTAATAAATGTCATTTTGCTCGCAATTGTACAAAAATCGCAGAGTATTCCCGTTTACAAAAATAAATCTGTTAATCACAAACTGGAGGACTTCGTTGCGTAATGCAGCTCTAACGAGCTACACCTCTTATCAAATCTTTAATAGCGAGACGTTTAGTAAAGCGAAACGACCAATAGTTTTTTTTTCAGTGCTTTACTACGCCGCTAGGACGACACAATAGTACAATTTAATAAATAATGTTCCATACAATAAATTCTTTTCAGTGTGTATAATTTTTCTACATTCTATTTATTCAAGTAAAATATAAAAAAATGTGACTGAGCCAAAGGTTTAAGCAATCCTCCGTTCCATTAATATCTTTAGTAAGTTTAGACAATGTTACACGATTGATTATGTGAGTAATTGATAAATATTAATGTTCGATATAGCGAGCACTGAGCAAGTCAGCCGTATTATACGATTAACACGCGTTTTGATTCATCATCCGCCTCATCGTTTGATTATGTTTGTCAAGCCAAAGTGAGACATTGCTTATCATCGACTCGTTCTCTTTACACGTGTGTTGTATTAAAGAGCAATCAGTTTTGAATCATCCTTATATCGATGAGATAGAGCAGCATAAAGATAAAGATCGTTTGCTCTTGATAATGCCTCGATTCACAATTGTAAGCGCTTCTCATTTTCCTCGCAAGACCCTCGTTTTAGATATGTATAAATATTGAAGGAATCTCTTGATAATTTCATTGAAAGTGATCGTAGACACAAATACGCGTAATTAACTTTGTCATCTTTTCAAATGTTAATCCAGAAATCAAATATAGATCTGATACATTTTTTTACACTTTTCACATTTAATATAAAATAAATGCTTAATATAAGATATTCAGACTTTTAAAAAAATGGAAATATGATTGGAAAAATTCCACTAAAAATGTTCTATGTTACAAAACTGTAGCAATTCATAAAATAATGAAAATTTCTAATGCGTAGTAGAAAAACTGATCGATGTCTGCCTTCTCTAAATTGTTTTCAATATATCAAATTTGGAATAAGCAATCTTATATTGTTCAATAAAAAACCTAATTAAATAAAGCTAGAAATATAAAAACTAAAAATAAAATCTTAAATAAAAATTTAACATTAATTTGCCTCGCAAGTCAACAGGATTAGAATAACCAAAGTAAATCACACTACAGCCTGCCTCGATTTTTCGCGTTGCAGCATTGTTGCAGCAATAATTATCGGTATTGCTTCTATACGATTCATATTCGCAAAATGTGAAATTTGCGAAAGTTTAGTGAAAGTGATAGTAAAAAAACTGTTTGTCATTGAAACTTTTGTGCGAATTCACGTGACAGGCTGTCTCGGGGCGGAAGAATTAACCGGCACCAGAGTCAGTGATTCCCTCTTCTTTTTGTTCACGCGACGTCCTACGTGCAGAACGACATCCCCGGCCTTCACAGACTTGAATTCGGCGATCGCTTCGGCGTGGGTCATGCCATGAAGAGGTTTCGAATTTATCGACAAAATTTCGTCCCCTGCAAACACATTTATCAAAGTTATTTAAAGTATCTTGTTTGTAAATATGATAATATATGTGCATACATATGTACGTAAGAGAAACATGATGTGTAATAAAATTAGGAATTTTTAAGAATCACCAAAAAAATGTACATATAACAAATAATAAATTGACAATATGTTAATGTTTAATTCAGAAAGAAACTTGTTTAAAATTTTGTTATAGCATACGATAAACTGTATTTTTGGTTTAAAACACATTTCTTTTACAAAAAAGAAGAGCGTAATTTTTGACATTCATTTCATAAAAAGATCGATTTAGATCTTTCCAATGTTAAACGATTCGCGTAAACATCGTCTCACAAAGAATGTTTTCATTTTAGATATTTAAAATGATAAAAATTGAAAAAAATTTTAATGTATATAGTTAATCAATTGTCTTTACCTTCTTTGACAGTGCCTAAGTCAGCGGCTTGGCCATTGGGAAACACGGTTTTCACGTAAATCCCCATGTTTCCGCGAGGACTGTCGGTTCCGCCGACAATACTGAAGCCGAGTCCCTTGTGTCCGGGACCCTTGAGAAATTTAGCAGTCAGTATCGTGTAGGATGCACCGCACTTGCCCGGTCTTGGCAAAGTACAAAAGCGCGACTCTTCGCCCTCGGCAGCTTCGTCGATGTCCTCGAGTTCCGAGTCCGTGTTTAAACCTTCGTCTGCGTCTTGAGTACCCTAAAAAAGAAATCGCACATTTTTTAATCGAACTACAAACGCGAGGAAAATATAAATAAAGTTTAATATTATATGAATAAGTATCAACACGCAAATATTCCTTTAAACTGAAATTTAATTTTGAAGCATCAATTTCTTTGTGCGCGAATTTTTTAGTCTCGCTATTTTTGGCAGTGTTTTTTTCATCAAGTATATGCAAGATCTTTCAGAGATTCTTTAAGTAAAATTTACTCACTTGCCAAGTCTTCAAGTTCACCCCGGAAGAGCTAGGAATATTCGCAACGCTCCTGCTGTTGAGCCTTCTTGGGTTTCTCTTACCAGGACTTCTATCCGTTGTCAGACTAGATGGTGCATCCTCTTTACTACAACTGCCGGCGCTCAGCGTAGCATCGCCTAAGTAATTGTTCACCTGACCGCCGACTTTGAAGTCAATCGATCTTTTTCTGGGCGTAATTCTAGGTATGTGTATTTCCTCGAACGACGGCTCCGATTGATTCCTGGTCCTGATGTTCTTCTGGAAGTGCACATTTTCGTAAGAGTGATCCCTGGTCTCAGAGTTGCTTCTGGCTAAGTGTCTGCCTATGTAAGGACTTGCCGAAGCCGGGACTTCGACCCGTTGAAAGCGCACGTTTTCGTAAGAATGATCGGGCACGCTGGCGTCGCGGTTCTCCGAGTGGCTGCGCTGGAGAACGGGCCTGGTTCTCGAACAGCAGGACGACGGCGAGGACCTGGCGAGAAACGTCACATTCTCGTAATAGTCCTTTTGCTCGTAGTTGCTCTCGGAGTAGGTGAAAGCGTCGCCGTTGCCGGCGGTGAGAGGGCTGGCGCAGTGAGGTGAGTTCGGAACGCTGTTCTCCGCCAGAGTTTCCAAATTATCGTGAAAGGGATAGGGCGGAAGAGACGTGGGCTCGCTCGAGTCATAACGGTTGTCTTCGAAGGTCTGACTGGACGATGAGGTGAGTGGACTTGGCACGTAGAAGTTGGAGGCATTGTCCTTTTGTTGTGGGAACACTTCCGTCACGCTGAGGGCCTTTCGCTTCCTGATACCGGCGTTTATCTTGCTGAACTTGCTGCGGAGCACATGCTGGATGTCGGCGATGCCCTTTGTCGTACCTGCAAGCGTATTTAAATAGAATATACGTACAAAGCATCATCTGTCTCGTAATTGTGTAGTATAACATATATATTTCCCTCCTTTAATGCTTACTTCGAGTTTTAATCTTTGTTTCAATATTCTTTTAAATTTTTTAATTTTTTATACTTCCGGAAAATAAATCACTGATCTAATAATGTATGTTTGGACATTGTATTAACGATAAAATTTAACGATAATAATTGAAAATAAAAGTAATTTAATTTTCAATCAATCTAAACTCACCTGGCAGTCTCAAAGAACTAGTTTGCAGCAGTTTCTTCGGCGAGTTCCCATCCTGAAGACTCTTTGCGGCCGGCGAGGCCTCTCTGCTGGCCGGTGTCGACCGTACCGCGTGTATAACACCATGATTCCCACCACCTTGTATCAGCGCCTCCTGCGGCTCCGACGACTCCTGGATGGAGCATCTTCGCCGCAGCTTCCGCCAGCGCTGACTGATGCTCTTGTTCCACAGGTTTAAGTCTGAAAAAAACGAGAGACAAAAACATTCAGGATGCGCATCATGCTCAGGATCAGGATCATTAATTCTCGCTCGACCGAAAATGCAGTTGCCAAGAATATCGCTTCTAAAAAAAAATGTTCCGCTTCCCGACCGTCAGACCTTAACGACCGGAAACACTTATCTCTTCCCTGCGCGAGGTGGCACATCTTTCTATTTACACGCAGATAACGAGTCGAGTCTGACGAAAAGACGCGTCACAGCGTGGATGAATGTAACGGTAACGATAGGACACTATCGGGTGCAAAACAAGCGGGGCGGCGACTTGTCCGACGAATATGAAGGACATACTAATCGCCGCTGCTCGAACATATTACTCGAAGTTAAAACAATGTCAACTTTAGAAACTAATAAATTTTAATGTAATTCTATGTTATCGATAATTTTTATAAACATTTTTCTTGGATTCTAAAAATTTATTTCAAGGATAATAAATAAAAAATAAGTAAAATAGAAAAGTATATTTTAAAATTTATAGAAATAATAAAACCAATATCAGGATCAATATTCAATAGCAATATAATTTTCTAGGGATGATAAATATCAAGAATAGAGTAAATATATATTATATTATAAATTATCAAATAGGAAGCTTAATTAAAACTGAAACTAATTTAAATGTCTATCAACTATATCAACTAATATTACTAGAGTCATATATATGAATAAAATTAATACATTATTTAATTCATTATTGAACACGTTATTGAACGAATAAAAACGATTAAAATCATGCGTCAAGCGATGTATTCCTGTTATGTCAATTGTAATAACTCCATTCGCCAATTCCTCATTCCGCTGTGCGCATTATACCGATTAAATTACAGCTCCCATTGTAAGCTACAATCTAATTCGTAATTACAATTCAATATAGTCTCCATGTCCTTCCTACGGCGTCACGTGGCCGGAAAACGAAGGGATCAGCCGCGAAATGGCCTTTCTATGACGTTAATCTAGCGGGGTCGACTTTGCCCTCTTCCTGCCGTCTCGACGCATCCTGGACGGTGAGATTGAGGAAGATCGGAGCATGATATGTCTCACAACACTACTTTTTGCGTTACAACGTCATGAATTATCGAAGACAGCGACGAACTTCACCACAGAGTCGGGTCAAATCAAGTTCATGAATTAATGCTGCCATTAATTATTAATGGGGTTATGAAATCCGCGCGATCTTTCGATCTAACGCGATGACGTTGCTGCATTCGGCGTTCGTCGCTCCGAAACTGATGCGCCAACCGATGCCGGCTGCACTCGCCGTTATTCTGACGACGGGGTTACCATCATCTTGTGCAAAACGCACTTTCACTTCTCGTTTTCCGGATGCGCCCGATTTTGCGGGGCCTTTTTCGCCACGCCAACCGGACGTTGTACTTGTTGATACACTCTTTTGACCACCTTAAATGTATATGTGTAAGATCATGCATCGGTGAGTCCGTCTAATTGGTTACTTCATTAGCGACAGCTCGTAGCCGGAGATCACGTGCGAAAACTTATAACAGCGACTTTGACGTCGCTGGTAAATTTAGATATTGCCTTCAAACCATTTAATAATAGTGGGTGTCAGTGACGGAACTTCTCTCATCGAGTAATTTTCGAGAGCTTCTACGAAATAGTGGACTTTTCGAGTCAAGTCTCACACACACACACACGGAACCTCTATCTCAGAGCGGAAATTCTTTGAATACTTAGTGAAAAGAATATAATTTGGAAAGAAATATTACTTGAAAAATTTGGCTTTAACCTCACAAAACATTCATTACTAGCCAATATTATTTCAATAAACGGTAGAAAGAGTACAATAATGAAAGAATTGTATTTATGGAATTTTTTCCAACATTCAAATTTTCAATGCTTCTTCCAGTGTATTTTTTACAAAATAGAGAGTATAATTGCTTTTATATTTTTTTTATTAAATTTCAGAAACAATTTATTTTTGCTTTTTTTACACAGTAATATTTTTTATTCACACATTGCTTATATTTACTATATTTATTTATTTGCACTGTCACGAGATATGGTTCTTCATCTTCAAGATAATAATTAAATTCGAAATTAATAAGGCAATTTAATCTCGGAACAAATCAGCTCTTTTAATAAAGGCTTCTTGACCGGGAGGAGTGTAATTAACATTTCCTGGCGTCATGGAGCTCCATGCAAATCAGTATCGATATTATAGACCGCGGAAGAGCTGTCAGAAATATCAATCAGTCTTTTTTATCTCGAATCCCTATCGAAATTTGAAAAATCCGGTATTCTTCTAAATGCATTATTATCTTTTCTACTTATTATTTTTTATCATCTCCTTTTATTATCTTTTAAAATTGATTTTATAACTGACTTCAAGAGACAGTCTTGCTAGATATTTTTTAAACAATAAATTCAAGTAGTCTTTCTTATGACAAAAATTTCAACATTTTTTTCTGTTCTTTCAAATACAGAATTTTTTTTCTTGTCTCACGCAATCTTTTCATAGTATAATTCTTTCTCTCTAGATATTTTTTTTACTTGTCACAGAACTTTAATTCCACACTCGTGTGATACTTTTGTTCCAGCATGAATTTCATGACCTCGTAGAATTCAATTTTTCTTGCGCTTATGCAATTTTTCATCGGATCATGTTTCCTCTTTTTATTATTCTTTACATGAATTGATAGATAATTGATCTTTGCACAAATCTCCGCAAAGCTTATATTTTTGTGGATTAAAAATATTCTTCTGGCGCAGTTATTTTTTCTCATTTCCTAAACGGACTCGACGGATCTTTTCTTATAGTAGAAATTTGGCGAGCTTGTACTGGTCCGAGTGTATCATTATCTGCAGCTCTAAACGGAGCAGTTCGGCGTAAACGTAGAGAAAACCGATGATGTAGGCCAGCATTTTGGCTTGATCCTTGCCGATTGATTTCCGAGCGAATGCTCTGCGTTGCTGTCGCCGGTCACGGTCGTCGATCGTCCTTCGATCCTTCGTGTTCGGCGACGCGAATCTTCGCAATTGCGCGCAGTTTCCTCGACAATTCGACAACGATTCTCCGTTTCGGAAATCGCGGGGTCTACACCGCACGCGGTCTCGGCATGGACTGAAAGGCCCTCTCGGGCTTCACGCTCACGTTGTCGTGTACAAGGCGTCGCACGCGTGTGCGTGACGGCGTGCACACCACACGTGTGTACCTGTGCATACACGGTGATACCGAACAAAAGTGCTCATACCTGGCTGTCAAATTGAATATACTTTTTATCAAACTTTAACACTACAAAACGTTCAAAATTTATAGATCCGTATATTTATAAGCACAATTTATAGATTCATATATATTTCTAAGCACAATTTATAGCTTCATATATTTTTAAACAAAATAAGTAATCGCGCTGATTGTTCAGTTGAACATTGCTATGATTCATCGATATCAAATATTTATTTCATTAACATATGCACTGTTTATTCATTAGCATTCTTTTAGCATCTGTTCTGCATTTATAAATCATATATCATGTCATAATTCATATGTTATTCTCAAATCATTTTCCTTTCACTTCGATCCTTTCGCTATACTCTGATTACACATCTCTTCAAATAAATCCAAATAGAATTCACTGGTAGCAATTGCGTATACTTCATTAACACGTGCACAAAATTGCGTATAAATAAATTGCATTAATCTTGTTTACGATATATTAAAAACTTTTTACATATTAGACATTATAAAGAAAACGTGTTGGAAGCGATTATTCCGACCTAAAAAAATTTATAAAAAATATTAATGTTACAAATGTAGATTCTAGTTTTTAATAAAAAAATTTTTATCTATAATTTGGTTATAAAAATAATGGGAAGACATCAACGTTGATGTTGTTTAGTCGCGCAATATCGGATAGCTAAATGCAACATGTAAGAGATAAGTCATGATTTTTTTTTTAACGAATCACCGTGTACACGATTACAGAGAGATTGTACTGATTGTGAGAACTCTTCGGTGTGTGTTAGCCAAGCGGTCTCTTTCGCTACATGCACACATACCAGCGCGCATACATCTATCTGTGCACACACACACACATTTCTGTTAACGTACCAACATGACGACTGCATGCACATGTTATATACAGCTGCACTCATATACTTCATGGTCAGGGCGGGACACATTATTCTCCGCGATAATGTGAGCGTGTCCTTTGTGACGGATTCGCACGAAAGTGGACACGCGCAACTTCATAAGAGGCAACAACAATTTTCAACAAGAGCTAATTAGTTAAAAATAATTAAATTTTGTTTAATCTTGATCTCCTTTATTCTTTATTACATCAATAGTATTAACATTTCTTCGCTCTCTTTCTCCCAGATTTCAAAAGTTTACGAACAAAAATAGCTAACAGAAGAGATAAAATAATAATATCTATAAATATTTATAGATAATTACATGCATATGTGTATTGTTTAATCCTTGTTTGATTATAATAAAAAAATTGAATATTATTATATCGCTAGACCTGAGACATAATTTGTTTCTGAAGCATCAAAACCTGTAAACGCGCTGACTCACATCTTTCAACTGGTCTTGTGCGATATTATAATCAGATAAAAATATATATAAGACGTGTGGCAGAGAATAAATTTGTTTAATTAATGAAAGCGCAATTTAGGATTGCTTTAAAAATGCGCGAAAATAAGACTTTTACAATTAACACATTATACAATTCATGCATAACAAAATCACAAGATTTGATTTGACAAATTTCTGACTGTTTTTTGAAATAAATGTTTCCGTGCTTTTTAAAACACACTCTCTTAAATTGCTTTCCACAAATATCTTGGTTTTGTTTGATAATTTCGTTTATCAAAGGATTATTCATCTACATTATCAATTTCATAGAAGAAAACTATCAGACACGAATGATGCCCTATTTTATCAGCTTATATATACGGAACTCGTACATAAATAACCAAACGCAGCCGGGAGTGACGAGGA